TCAAATGAAGAACATCAAACAAACAAAATCTTCAAAACAATACCTCAATAGGGCTGAGCTTCCTGAGATTAAACATTTCAATAGTCTCAGGAACACCTCCAACAGTTCTTCCCATCTTCCGACAAACCCTGGAATCCCTAATACACGAACTAATTTTCCCCCAATAGCTCTCTTCCGCAACTCGATCCTTCAACCAACCGGAATAATCTTGAAGATAGTAATCCAAATACGCCCTACTCGGAACCGTCCGGCCGGATCCTTTATCAGTGACGGCATAAGCGAAGACAATAAACACAATCAGAGCAACGATAACAAAGAACATCACGAATAGGTATAACCACATCAAAAAAGTGTTCCGGTAACACGCGCCGGCGAATCCAGCCAGAGAAACGACCATGATAGCAACTCCGATTATGATCAACGGCCATTGGAGGAATCGGAGACACTCTGTACTGTTGGCTTGAGTACTTAGCCATATCCCGCCGGCGAGGATCGGGATTGAGAGGACGAAAGTGAGGAAGTTAAGTAATCCAATCAAATGGTTGCTGGTTCTCATACTTCAAATCTCACTGCCGGAGTTGGTAGTTACGGCGGGGTTTGTGGCTGTTGGGACGGTGGTTATGGTGCAGGTTGTGGAAATGGAGAAAGTTGAATCGGTGGAGAAGGAGGAGGAGGAGCAGGTGGAAGGAAGATGGGCGAAGGATGTGTGGGGGCTAATAAAGAAGGCGCCATAATGCAGTTATGAGGTCAATGAGAGTATGACTGTACTGTAATGTGTTGTCGTGCATGGACCGAGCCGACATGTCGGCCAGCGCTAGTTTCGCCCGAAAAAGCTGGGCTCCGGGGGGCACGGCAGAGAGAGAAAATGCGACTAAAGAACGCTGTTTCGTCCATTTTCCAACTTTTTCTAGTTTTTATATTATAAATATTTATTTAATCCAAAATGTGTCGTTTACTTATTGATGATCATTTCCTAAATTAATCAATGTGGGGCTCACTCCCAACAATCTTTTCCTCGAACAAAGTACATTATAGAGTCTCCCTTGAGGTCTATGGAACCCTCGAACAGTCTCCCCTTAATTGAGCCTCGACTCTTTCTCTAGAGTTCTCGAACAAAGTACACCCTTTATTCGACATTTGAGTAACTTTTGATTACATCTTCGACGCCCACATGACTAAGTTCACTGCATGACTCTAATACTATGTTATGAATCATGGACCTCCGTAATGGTAGGACGGAGAAGGGAGGGGAGAGATATTAATAATAAAACATCCTATTAATGTTTTTAACGGTTGCATTAATGATTAATATTTGTTTATTACAGTATCAGGATATTTAATGTCAGCATTTTTTTAGATTAATTAATAGTATATTTAATCCATTAACAATAATAATATGCAAAAATTATATTTAATCTTGAATTACAATTTTACCCCTTGTCACTCTTGGTCGGTAGTTAATTGTTCCATTAATTAATTAAAAAAAGATAGGTGCTCCTCATTAGTAAATAATTAAATAAATGCAATTTAAAAAATAAAAGGGTTATGAAATAGAGCTAAAATGTTGGGTATTAACTGAACTTTAAAAATATCTTACAATTCTGATTTTAAATTTTATGAAATAAATTTTTATATTTTATTAGAAAAAAATTAAAAAAAAATTAAGAGGTGGAACCCATATTAGTAATTTTAAGTTGATGTGATTTGTTTGGCAATAATGCAAGAGGTTGAATTGCTTGACTGCCACGTATGAAACTCCACGTGTACCTGTTGGCTTAATTATGACAGAATTTTATTAATGAATAATATTTTTTTTCAAAATAAATAAATAAATAAATAAGACAGTTACAAAATTGAGTTCAATTATGGTTTCAACGACCATAGAACCCAATAAATCATCTTTCATAAAGATGCTTTTTAATTGAAAGGACCGTTTCATTACGACACGTCACTACACATATTTTCAATAAATAACCATTTTCTTTGTATCCTAAATAATATATATATATATATACACATACATGGCTGAAAAATAATATCGGTGAAAAGTAGACGTACTTAAATCTAGACAAGTATCATGGCTAGTAGGGCAGAAGAACCACAATGAACGAGACGACAGAAACTACACAAGAATATGATAAAGGAGTCGGAGCTGAAAAAGGCAAGCTCATTTTTATTTATTAGTAGTGTATCAATGGCGGAAAACAAAAATTAGCCTTTCAAAAAGCTGACCTTATAAACGATATTTATTTTTTAAAAGGGCACTCCTACGGGACCCATAAACTACAGCCTAGCGTGCAACCACTTATTCACCGTTGTTGCTTGCATCTTCCCGGCTCAAAAATCTCTCTTTTGCCTCCTCCATATCTCCATTTGTAAATAATCTGTTTTTGTCTTTGATCTCCATATGTGGTCGCTTCCGGGGTGCATTTGTGGTATTTCTTACAACTTTACATAAAAAAATTTGATCGTTAGTGAAACTTTAAAAGTAACTGACATACAAGAAGATCATGTTCAATAAATAATCTATGGTATATGGATAAAATTACGTGTCTTCGATGTGAGTCGCTTGTAATTATTATAAATAATTTAATTTAAATTATCATGCGATGAATACTATATGCTATGATTTAATATAAAATTAATATTTTAAGGATTAAATAGCTATAATTATTTGATTTACATGTAATTTTTATATTTATGGGTATAATTTATTGCGAATCCAACATAGAGCTAATAAATAAAAATTAATTAATTAAATTTTTTTTTTGTCTTGATTAACCACATGGTGTATAATAAAAATCAAAATATTAAATTATAGGTTAATTGACGAAAATGTTAGGTAGTGGGTCACATTCACACTTCACATCGAATTTCTTTTTAAATTAAAAGAAATAAACATTTAGTTTAATAATGATTATATATATATCTACCTAACATGAATAAAACAATTCAATTAACTACTTGAGTTATGAATGGAATTCTTTTATTTTCCTGTTAATTTAAAAATATTATTGACAATTTAATTTTGTTTACCATAGGTTAAAAACTTATTTAAATTATTAATTAAATTAACATAAATATAGTTTTATTTGACTAAGATAACTTTATATTAATTAATTAAATTATTTAGATAAATCACTTTCTTTGAATAATTAATTATTTCATGTTCTTCAAGTACCTCAAATAATTATAATTTTTTTAAACTTAGCCACGTGGGCGTTATAGCGTCAACCACTAATATAATTTCTAATAATTTGTTATGGTTGTTGATTTCCTATGATTTGAAAAATATTGCATGAAGATTTCAGTATTAATATTTGGAGATGATATTTATGTTTTCGTCCTTCAAGTTTCAGTATCTTTCAATTTAGCCTTTATTATTTAACTTATATTCAATTTAAACACCACTAATTACTTTCACAAACTTCCATAATTTTTAGTTAGGAAAAGTAGTTGGAACTAAAGGGTTTTTACCTGACGGGAAGAAAAAAAAGTTTGTTCACACACGTTCCGAGATAGGAAAAGTAGGTGAATTGTTCTTTTAAGTGCTAACTTCGAAACTTAAATAATGGGGCTTCAGTGAGAGAATGTCTTACTTTATGGTTTAGTAACACTTACGGTGAAAGATGTAATTATAAGGGTAAAACAGACTTTTAATGTGACTGTAGTTATAAATGACTCGTGAGTTAAATGAGCTGGGAATAGAAATTCTAATCTTTATCCTTGCCCCCGACCGGTCTCGTTTTATGTCTAAATATAAATATATCTATATATTGAAAACGGAAAGTATTGATTATAAAAATCATTCGAAATGATTTTTTTTAAAATTGTATAAAAATCGAGAAAAAAAATCCACATGAAAAATCTCGACCAGGTGTCCTACAAATCCTACAAAAAGTAAAATAGAAAATTTCGTGGGAATGCATTAATAATTTCGATCCCCACCGGTTAGACTTATCCTTTAACTTTTTCATAAATATTTTAAGATTAAATAATTTTTATATAATTTAGCTTCAGAAAAAAAATAATAAATATAGGTTTTATTCGCAAAAGGAAAATAAAATGGCACCTCAATTACTAATAATTGCACTACAAAATTTAAAATTTAGCTATTTATTTATAAAACCCAATAAAATATCCATAACTTCAAAATAAAAATAAAAACCAGAATATATTTTAATATTGAATGTAGTCTGGTTGGGGAGCAGTTTTCCGTCTTGAATAAAAACCTCACACGTGCGAACCCAGTTAATTTTTAAATATCTGTAAATTTGGTGGCCATGCTTGGATAACAAAATAAATATATTTTTTTTATAAAAAAAAATGTGTTTTATTTATTTATTTATTTATTTTTAGGTTGTGACGAAAGGGATTGAACAACAACCATTGACTTTACAGTGCATTTTTCAAAAAATAATTTGTCCAATAAATAATTTAAAATCGGATGATTTTACAGCTGTCCCGTGCTCCCAATTTGTACTGTTTTGGGACAGACACATAGCTACCTACGTAGTACCCAAATAAACAATTTATTAACGTTTTCCTTTTCTAAATTATTCTTAGTTATTTTTAATTTTATTATTAAATAATACATTAAACCAATATGAAATTTAAATATGTTCGCCCACATTTTGAATAAACCAATATTATCTTTAATCAATTACATAATTATTTCTAATCTACTTCATTTTACTAATTTAAATATTTAAATTAAATACTTAAAAGCTCATTTTGTCAATAAATTAATTAGTACTTTTTAAAAAAAATAATGTTTAAACTAAAAAGACGTATACTTTTTCTTAGCTACAAACTTAGTCGTGGTTAAAGAGAGGAACCAGACATATCTTGTATGACTGTGAAGATGGGGAGAGAGGAATAAAACATGTCTGATAAGGATACCAAAACCTCTCCTTAACTAATCGTTTTAAAATTATCAAAGCTGGTATGGATTAGTAAGCGTGGGCCAATGTTTACTCGATCCTTTTAAATACTCACTTCATATAAATACTATTAAACCGTATCTCTGCTCTGCCTCGGACTTGGAGAGCTTGAAAATTGCAGGCTTTTGTTCCTTTCAGCGCTTTAATTACATCCAAAATTGCTTCCATTTCGTCGTTCATCACCTTCTTCATCTACAAAAATGGCTGCTTGAGCTCACATTTCCACCAGGTTTGCCCTTTCCTTCTGTTCTTTAAACCTAATTTATACCCTTTTCATGTTACTCCAGATGGGTTTGAACTGTTTAATGCCACATTCCTGTTGGTTCTGAACCTACTTTTTAGGGTTTTTAAATTTTAGGGCTTACAGATTGTTCTTCATTTGGTGAATGATGGACAAAACAAGAAGTTTAGGGCAGTTTTTTTTGTTTGTTTTCTTTCTTTCTCATCCGTTTCAAAAACTCTTCTTTTCATGTGGGGTTTTCAAATTTCAAACCCTCTTAGCATTTAATTATTCTTGCCCTTTGCCTCTGGAAAGTTACTAAAAGGCACCTCTTAGGCTTGGATTTACCCCTTTTTTCTCATTTGGGGGAAGGGTTATTTGTGGAACTTTACTCTCTTGTAGGCCCTTGAAACCATTATAGAGGGGCTGAGTATTAAAGAAGTGTGGTTTGTTTTCAAGCTTTGACCCTCTTGTTTCCTCTATGAACTTGATCTGTTGCAGAGTTGCTTGGCTTGTGGGTGAGGGAACTGTTGTTCATATCCGTTTTTTTGGTGTTTTTTGAGAAGGGAAGTGATGCAGACTTCTAAATCCAGGTGACTTTAAGTGCTTTTCTTATATGTTGTTTGGTCATTTTCTGGAAATGGGTGTTGCTGTTTGAAGTTGAATGTGTATTTGATTCATGAATGGAACAAAGGGATGCTGTTTGTGGTTTAGTTGTTCTTCATTATTAGTCTCATTGTGCTCGTCCAACAACAAGTGAAGTCGATATCATTTCTCGATGTTTTTATGTGTAATCTACGTTCGATGAGTGATGGAGATTTGCTATTGCTCGGCTGGACATGGATGATCCAGCATCTTTGCTTCTGTTTGAAGATTGCCTATGACTTCCACCTATCTGTCAAATGGATCTATGTGAGATTCCACGTCGGTTGGAGAGGGGAACGAAACATTTCTTATAAGGGTGTGGAAACCTCTCCCTATGTGTCTTAAAACCTTGAGGGGAAAGCCCAAAGAGGAAAATGTCTACTAGCGGTGGACTTAGACTGTTATAAATCGTATCAGAGCCAGACACCAAGCGGTGTACCAATGAGGAAGCTGGGCCTCCAAGGGGGTTGATTGTGAGATTCTACATCCGTTGGAGAGGGGAATGAAGTATTCCTTATAAGGGTGTGAAAAACTCTCTCTAAAAGACGTGTTTTAAAACCTTGAGTGAAAGCCCAAAAGGGAAAGCCCAAAGAGGACAATGTCGGTGGACTTGGACTGTTACAAATGGTATTAGAGCCAGGCAGCAGGCGGTGTGCTAGCGAGAATGTTAGGCCCCCGAGTGGGTGGATTGTGAGATCTCACATCGGTTGGAGAGGGGAACGAAGCATTCCTTATAAGGGTGTGGAAACCTCTCCTTAAGAGATAGTTTTATAATCTTGAGGGGAAGCTCAAAAGGGAAAACCCAAAGAGGACAATATTTGCTAGTAGTGGGTTTGAGCTGTTACAAATGGTATTGAAGCTCGGCATTGGGCGGAGTACCCGCGAGGATGCTGAGCCCCCAAGGGGGTGGATTGTGAGATCCCACATTGGTTAGAGAGGAGAATGAAACATTCTTTTAAGGATGTGGAAACCTCCCTAATACACGTGTTTTAAAATCTTGAGATGAAGGTTAGAACGGAAAGTCCAAAGAGGATAACATTTGCTAATGGTGGGCTTGTGCTATTACAAATGATATCAGAGTCAGGCACCGAGCGGTGTGCCAGCGAGGATACTGGGCCCCGAAAGGGTTGGATTGTGGGATCCCACATTGATTGGAGAGGGAAACGAAACATTTCTTATAAGGGTGTAGAAACCTCTCTCTAACCGACACGGTTTAAAAGGGAGCCTGAATTTGAGACTGAAAATCAAGAAAATGGGGTTAATAAGTCTCATGTGATAGGCAAAACTAGTGCTAATGATTGATGTATTTTGATTCCAGAAGTTCATTGGAGGCACCCAAGAAGGTCTCTTTAAAAGCTGCTCGTCAGGTTAAACCAGCAGCATTGAAGTGTGACTCGTCGTCGTCGTCCAATCAAACGGGAAAGATATTGAAAGAAAGGAGCCCGAAGGTCGTTGGCAGGTCGCCCAGGACTCCACTATCAGAGGTACACTATTTAACGCAAGTGGGCTATTACAAATGCTAGCGGTGGGCTTGTGCTATTACAAACGGTATCAGAGCCAGTCACTGAAAGGTGTTCCAGCGAGGGCGCTGGCCCCTAGGTAGGGTGGATTGTGAGATCCCACATTGGTTGGAGAGGGGAATGAAGCATTCCTTACAAGGGTGTGGAAACCTCTCCCTAGTAAACGGGTTTTAAAAACCTTGAGGGGAAGCCCGAAAGGAAAAACTCATAGAGGACAATATCTGCTAATGGTAAGTTTGGACTGTTACATGATCCGAGTTCGAGTCTCATATCTCTGTTCTCTCTCTTGTTCAGAAGAAGTGCCAAAACAGAATATCCGAGTTGGAGTCTCAGATTTCCATCCTTCAGAAGGATCTTAAAAAGGCCAAGGAGCAGCTACATTCGTCTAAGTCACGGAAAGACCGAGCCCGAGTAGATACGGAGGTGTCCAGCGCAACATCAATTGTCAAGGAGCATCAGCCATCATCTTCCGAACAAGGTCATACTAACGAGCTTCAGAACGTGGCACGAGAAGACGATCAATCGCTGCACTCTGCACCTGAGGTCACCGAGAAGTCAGAATCCGTGGACTCCGTTGCCTTAGCAATGGCGAACGTTACGCAGCAGCTTAAACTCAAACTTCTCGTAGTCGATAAATCCAAAGCTTTTCAGACAAAACATGTCGAATCAGTGAACGAGAAGCACGGTAAATTGAAACAAGTACTGTCGGAAACCATCTCGATTATGGCAACCATGAAAAGCCAACTGCAAGATTGTGAAGTATCAGAAACTCAAGTTCAAGCACTCATACATGAAGCTACAGCTCAATTGGATATTGCAAAAGAAATGGCTGAGTTGCTCGGTTCTGATTCGACAAAAGCCTTCGAAGATTGGAACTCGGTTACTTTAGAGCTGGACGAGTCCCGGGAACACGTAAGCTTACTGGAGACGCTTGTTCGTAAGCTAGAACCCGGCCTTGCAAATTTTTGCTCGTTGCAGTCGGAGGTTGAGCAGCAAGCTGCCGAGGCAGAATACCGGGGTAGACGAGATCTTTGTACCCTCGAACCAAAACCCGCCATGGTGAAGCCTGATACAAATCTAAGGGAGGTTGAACTCAAGAAGGAATTAGAGAAATCGAGAGTTGAAATAGACGAGTTCAAGGCGAAGTTACGCGACAGGGAAACCGAGTTAAGGAGCATCACGGAAGAGAATTTGGAGTTGAGTTGTAAGCTCGAGAAGAGCCTATCGAGCCACCGAGTATACGGACTAGAGAAAGAGCTGGATGACTTGAAGAACTGCATTGCAGATTTAAAGACCAATCTCTTAGACAAAGAGACAGAGTTTCAGAGCATATCAGAAGAGAATGAAATGCTGATATCTGAAATCAGTAAAAGGGACACGATCGAGACCAAAATGAAGGACGAAACAAAGACCGAACTCGTTACGTTCACGACCATAGAGAAGCTCGGGATTACAGCGGAAGATACCGACCGAAGCACGGGCAGCAGGAAATCTGTAGGGGTGGCTGAACTCGAGGCAGCAGAAGCAGCCAATGCAGAAATGGAGATGGAGCTGAGAAGGGTGAAGGTGCAGTCGGAGCAATGGAGGAAGGCGGCGGAGGCGGCTGCAGCGATGATTGGAAGCAACGGAGAGCTCATGGGTAGAGCGGGATTGATGGACAGCAGCTACAACGCCATTACTGGTAAGATCGGGGCGCTGTATTCGCAGGATTCGGACGAGGATTTAGTGAAAAAGAAAAATGTGAATGTACTAAAAAAGATAGGGGTGCTTTGGAAGAAACCGCAGAAATAGAAATGGGATTTTGTAGTTTTCTTCATTTTGTAGAGAGCTTTCTTCCAAATTTGAGGATTCAGAATGCTATGAATAACTCATATGGTGGCTGTTCACTTGAAAGCAATGGAATTGGTGATAGTTCTTTGTTCGTTTAAGTCGAGTCTAAGCCCACCGCTACCAAATGTTGTTCTTTCTGGACTTTCCCTCTCGGACTTACTCTCAAGGTTATAAAACGCGTCTACTATGGAGAGATTTCCATACCTTTATAAGAAATGTCCAACGTCCTAGCTGGCACCGTGCCCAATGTAGTTATTGTCCATTGATCTTGCTCTGCTCATGAGTTCTACGTTGCTTCTAATCATGGCTGCAACCGTCTCTCCCTAATAGACGCGTTTTAAAATTTTTATGGGAAACTTAGAAGAGAAAGACCAAAGAGGATAATATCTGGTAGCGGTGAACTTGAGCGGTTGCAAAAGGTATCAGAGGACGTTGGCCCCTAAGCACAATCCCACGTCGGTTGGAGAGGAGAACGAAACATTCTTCAAATAGGATAATATTAATATTATGTAAAAAAATTATGATAAACTTGAAAGTTTATATAAATAGATATTATTTGAATTAAGAAGAACAAAAATGGTTACTCCATTGTTCATCTCTTGCTCCGCTAATCTTCTTCCTTCTCTAGGTCTTAGGTATTCTTTCAATCTTCATCGATCTCTCTTATCTCTTCTAAACGGATAAAATCGAACAAAATCAGTTCTTGTTAGTAGACATTCGAAGGCACAGATTCAATTTTAAACCCTCGATTTCGCCGTTTCAACTCTCTCAGGCCGGCGTAAATGGGGCCGAGATGGAAAGGGAAGGGTTCAGAAGCCAAAGCTCTAGCAGATCCCGTGTCGAAGATTGTACTTCAGCTCCAGTCTTCTCTAACACAATCTGACGCTCAAGGATTACTATCTAGTTGTAGTGTACTTTATCAAGCGGATGAAGAACAAGCCGAACTTCTTAATCGCGCTTGTTTCGGTCGACCAATTGTTTCCGCCGAGAAGGATAAGCAATGGTTTCAATTCGGCATGGAGGAGGCTTTTTACTTGTCTTATTATTTGAATTGCCTTAAAATTGTCGATGGACAGGATTGTGAAAAGAATTTCGATGAACTCTGGCTGTATATGAAGTCGCAAAAGGCTACGTTCCCTGAGTTTTACAAGGCTTATCAAAATCTTCGGATGAAGAATTGGGTTGTGAGACCTGGATCTCAATACGGAGTTGATTTTGTTGCTTATCGTCACCATCCGGCTCTCGTCCACTCTGAATTTGCTGTGCTTGTGTTGTCCGAAGGAGAAGGAAGTAATGAAAATGGGAGATTGAGAGTTTGGTCTGATTTTCTTTGCACAATTCGGCTTTGTGGAAGCGTTGCAAAAACTCTGCTAGTTCTTACTGTCAATAGCAATGGAAACCGTTCTGTTTCTCCTTCGTGTTTGGACAGTTACTCCATTGAAGAGCGCACAGTTACGAGATGGAGTCCAGAACAGTGCCGCGAAAATCCTGCAACGAAGGTATAATGTACGCTGTTTATTTGTTATTTGGATAATTTCTAATTGTTCTTCGCGTACAACGAACATGGACTAGCTAGGGGTATAATCACAATCATGTTCTTCCTATTAATTTCAACTTGAAATTGCTCAAATACACATCTTTCAGGAATAGTTACAATTACACAACTAAACACTGTTGATTGATAGGAGTTTGAATGCTGAATTATTGTTTAACTCAAGTTTAAGCTGATTAGGTGGAGTATATGTAATCTTTTGTTTATATTCTTATCATTTGAATAAGTATCTAGCTGGGTTGTGAGTTTTCGATCCATACTTTCCTCCACGAAAATTCATCTGATTGACCTTTAGCTTTTCCTTAATGTACTAATGGGAATGTCAGAAACAAATAATTGAATGATTAAGACAATGTTGCTTGCCAGCGACATGTTCCTCCAGCTCTTCTTGGTCCTTCTATGCAAGAATTGTAGACATAATAGAGTTAGTTCTCTTGAAAATTGCTCCGGCAGTTCAAATGTCTCATTATACATGTTGAGGATGGGAGATGGGAGCGTTTCTTAGGCTCAAAGTGGACTATTACACCATTGTAGAGGTTCGCGTTTCCTACATGGTATCAGAGTCATGCCCTTAACTTAGCCATGTTAATAAAATCCTCAAATGTCAAACAAAGAATTGCAAGCCTCGAATGTGTAATTAAGAGTGACTAAAGTGTTGAACAAAGAGTGTACTTTGTTCGAGAGCTCCAAAGGAGTTGAGCCTCGATTAAGGGGAGATTGTTCGAGGGCTACATAGACTTTATGGGAGGCTCGATGGTGTACTTTGTTCAAGGGAAAGATTGTTGAGGATTGTTGGGAGGGAGTCCCACATTGACTAATTTAGGGAATGATCATGGGCTTATAAGTAAGGAATACATCTTTATTGGAATGAGGCATTTTGGGGAAGCCCAAAGCAAAGCCATGAGAGCTTATGCTCAAAGTAGCCAATATCATACTATTGTGGAGAGTCGTGACTCCTAACAATATAGGCTTAGCCTCTCTCTCTTGAATCAATTGTAGCAAGCATTTACTTCTTGCAAGTATGATAGTTCTCTTTTGTATGTGAGCTTATAGTGAACGTAATTGCATGACTAGAAATGTATTGCGTAGAAAGTTAGACGTAATTAAAGATACATAGTTCTGTAAGTATCATATAATTAGATGAAAAAAGGAACCTCCCACTTTCTGAAATAGGCCTCTGACATTTGCTAATGCTTTATATGCAGTCAATGTAGATGAAGAATTGCGTGTGGAAACGGAAGCCGTAAATGTTGAGAAAGAAGGTATATGGTGCGAGGTAGGAGGAACACCGAGAAGGAACTACTGAGAAACGATGTTGTCTGTTTCAATGGAGGCTATTCCAGCTATGTTATTGTAATAGCACAATCCCACTGCTAACCGATATTATCCGTTTTGGCTCGTTACATATTGTCGTCAGCCTCACGATTTTATAACGTGTCTACTAGGGAGAGGTTTTCACACCCTTATTAGAAAACGTGTCTACTAGGGAGAGGTTTTCACACCCTTATTAGAAAACGTGTCTACTAGAGAGAGGTTTTCACACCCTTATTAGAAAGCGTGTCTACTAGGGAGAGGTTTTCACACACTTACTAGAAAACGCGTCTACTAGGGAGAGGTTTTTCACACCCTTATTAGAAAGCGCGTCTACTAGGGAGAGATTTTCACACCCTTATTAGAAAGCGCGTCTACTAGGGAGAGGTTTTCACACCCTTATTAGAAAACGCGTCTACTAGGGAGAGGTTTTCACACCCTTATTAGAAAACGCGTCTACTAGGGAGAGGTTTTCACACCCTTATTAGAAAACGCG